AGTGTGACTCACATTGAACTGTCTATTCAGATTGAATGAACTATTTTTATCTCTTTCATTTCAGCAACGTGGATCAAAGAATTAGGAGCATGACTGTCCTTTTAAGTCATCGGTACGAATATCCTCGATATTTTTGTCTTCCTGCATTTTGGTTGCTGTGAAAACTCCTAACAATTTTACTTAACTTATTTTGCTATATCATGAAATTTTATTTAAAATCATTTAGTTATTTTGTATCATATTAATCTGTTTTTCACTACTTCTATTGATTATTTATCTACTATAATTTTACTTTTATTTGAATTTAGTTGGCTCTCTGACTACTACGTGAATGAGTTTCCAACTCATACGGTCGCCTCCCCAATTTTACATATTGCTCAGGTAAAAATAAAGAAAGAAAATTCCCGATTTTACTAATCGTCTCTTCGTTCAATTCATGAATCAATCAAATACAGTTGAAAGTCAGCAACTGTGTTTGTAATGGTAAAAGCTTAGAATTCCCATTGTATATATCGGTCTACGTATATCGATCCAACTCTCTTTGAATGTCATCAATTTAATAGACTATGGAATTATAGATTAACTTACATGAACAGATTAACACGCCTCCTCCTGGAGTTGGAAAGAATATACATGTATAAGATTGGTGATTATACGAGTACGTTGGAACAAGAGGAAGCGTGTAGACCGATATTTTCAATGGTAATGAGCTATAAAACTTCGTTTGCACTGTACTTACAACAGAATGTTGCCGTTGTCAGCGTTATATACGAGGGCTGATTGTGGAAATAGCAGCACTGTGTCATGAGCTTCTTTCACTGACCTTGCATGGTCTGAACTGAACACCTCTCATCAAAACAAGTACACGTAATTTACAGTATGTTATTGCCCACCCTCTGTTCGTACGGAAGCTTCGCCTAAAGAAGTTTTTTGTTATTAAAGGCAACATGTCCATTTTGTGGTTTTATGTAACTTTATAAACAACTCGGAATAAAACAATGGAACAATATACAAAGAATTCAATTTAGACATGAATCTCACGGGCGTAACCAGGCATACGCACGGATGCACTGTGCGTACAATTTTTTGAGCCAACCACGATATTATTCTCCATAAATTCAGTGTATTTTTCACGGAATATAATCGTACAATGTGCGTACAATTTTTTGAGCCAACCATGATATTATTCTCCATAAATTCAGTGTATTTTTCACGGAATATAATCGTACCTGAGAATTTTCAAAATCTGTGCGTACAATTTTAAATGGTCTGGTTACGCCCCTGAATCTTACTTTTAACCAAACAGGGACACGCAGGTAATTCAAAGTAAAACATAATAAAGTTCGGTTTATACAGACTGTTTTGGATTATCCCCCCTAAGACAACACCTCCCCCCCCCCCATCCAGGGAAAGAAGATACACGGCTTTTAAACTATCTATTTGAGGCATTTATTGAATACTTTACTGAGTATAAGAAAAGGGACTGAATGAAAAAACAAAAACTGTAAGGATTGTCTTTTAATTATAAAATTTAAAAAAGCTCACTTATGCTCTTAAACAGAACTTAGAGGTAACCTTAAATCAGATGCATATATGCTTTAACATGTTATTTTTCAAACAAACAAATACTACCATCTTATCAATTTTTCTGGAAGCAAACATTTTTTTATTTGCATTTAATTAGATATGAGTGAGTTTTCTGAATAAAATGTTTTTATTTATAATAAAAATGTAATCCATAAAAGGAACAAATAAAAACACATTATTGAAATATTTAGAATATTTATTTGGTATTTAAATTTTGACTTCACATCATATACAAACTTAGAACTTTGAATTCAAAGCAGGCATTTTGTCTGAATAATGGTGCATGGAATAATGGAGAAGAACCTTGGTTCCATTTTCTTGGTTTTCAGAACTTAGCTGCAGATCCAAGATGGCACACACTTAAAACACCCTTAGATTGCCTGTTGTCAATGTACTGCAGTATTGTGTTCCATGACATTTAAGACAGAACAGTATGATTCTACTCATATCATCCAGGTGAACAAAGTGAAAAATCAAATCTCATACATAATTTTCACTATATTTTTCTTTTTACTGAGTATGAAGAGATACTGTTTATGCACCCTGGTATATAATCAGGCATATTTCAAGAAATGTCCAACAAAATCTTCTCAACTTGTCAGTGTTTACAGACTGACATCATGCAGTGTATATAATTATATGCCAAGCTGACTTTCAAAACCTTCACCATTTGAAAGTTCTTAATTTACCACTCTCTCTCTTTCTCTCTCTCTCACACACACACCAACTGAAGGTTCATCTCAGTGAATAAAAACAAGATAATAATCTCAATCCATATCTAACAGATAAACTACACTAACAACACACTCAGTGTGTGACATTTCTATAATATATAAATATGTGTGATGACAGAAAAGCTAAGTCCCACAACTCAAATAGTTGTTCTTGTGATGTGTCTTGCAAGGGCAATTGTAAGTTCAATGTGCGTGCACACAATACCAGTAGTTTCTGTGCGCATGCAAAAAAGAGGCCAAAGCAAAAGAGAATGCGACTTTTGGTTGGTGCTGAAATCTCAGAAACTGAATGTCCATCAGTCCAGTGATGAAATTCGAAACATTTGGTATCTCTAATCCCTTTCTTCTGCCAGCTGAAAAGGTAATAGTGAAGTGCCCCATTAGAATACTTGTTAGCATAACAATGAATGTTATACATTAACAATTTGTTCTCAAAATAAGTAGTTCTTAATTACAATAGTCAAAACTCTACAAACATTTCTACAATAAAAAAGCAGCAGTTGGTAATTTTCCCAAAACCAAATGCAAACTTAAGTAGACTTGCCCACTATTTTGATTTAGAGCACATTCCCAATGGAACTGTCATTCTGTGTAGTCAATCCAACTCCACAGGGACTGGCTGAATGCAATTGTATTAACACACCTCCTCTTGTTTTCACATACTGGTACTTATATAATCAACAGTTTTTTTCTGTATTTTACTCAATGCCAGGAGGAGGCATGTTTATCTGATTGCATTCAGCAGGAGTCCCCGTGGAGTTGGAAGTATCTATGTAGTTTCATTGGAAATGAGCCCTTAGAGGGCAACCTACACTGTGTTCTACAGAAACAACTCAATTCAATTATTTACTGACAATTTGAAATAAAAGATTTAAATTTATAATGCCAAAACAAGGTTTTTGTCAATTTAAATGAAAAACTATTTGATTATTACCTGTAGCCTCTCTTGAATATCTTAAGAATTCTCCACATGTAACTTCCTCCTCTGCTTAGAAGACAATCAAGCCATGCTAGGCATGGACCTCCTTGAAGTGGGCCAAAGTTCTGAAAAAATACAAGATACAAACATTATATATCATTTCATACACCTATTTTTCAAAACATTGGAGTCAAGAAAAAAATGTTTTTAGAATATAATTTATTGGTTCCAATTGAGTAACCTTAAAATTGTTTGACATATTATTGTAATAATGTACTGCTTACCATTTTATCACCTTCCCATCTCTGGCTGTGTAAATCCAACTTGTCCTAAAACTTGCCACATCCCATGTGTTGTATATCTGGATGAGATGAAGGCTAAGGATGTTCTCGCTGGTCTTTAACTGTCTGTTCCTTATTATTAAAAGCCATGCCCATGTAACCAGCTGCTGCCCAGAAGCCACCATGTCATATAGAAAGGTGCTGGAAAAAATAAAACAGTCCAGTCAACCACTAGTTGGTCATGAAGAAGTCTGGTGTGTTTTGGTATGGAAGACATTTCTAAGACCCAATTAGATCCATCTAGCAGGATCGACCCATCTACGAAGGGAGTTTGAAGGGCATAGTGAAAGAAACAAAGGCCATTTCCAGGCACTATACTGATCCACCTAATTGTATACTGAACAAAAATATAAACGCACGAAACTAAAATGGTCAGTTAAAATGGATAATCATGAAATATGCCCAGGTGGATGGTTTATTTGTGAACTGATGAATTTGTTTTGATCAAGTATAGTGGTCTGGTTTCACTTGGCCGCTCCCTGTGACTATACTTAAAGGTTCAGTTTTTACACCCATAAGACTAATGGAGCATGACGGAGTGGAAGTCAATCTGCATGACCAATACACAGACACTCTCTACAGTCTAGGCAATAAAAGGACACACCAAAATGTGCATTTCTGTCACTTGTCAACATGCCACAGATGTCTGCCACAGAATCATGAGGGAGCATTGGCATGCTCAATGCTGGCTTGTCGGTAACAGAAGTTGCAGCATGCCTGAATGTGCATCATTCCACTGTCAGCCATCTGAGAACACGCTTCAGAGACACTGGTAGCACTAGGAACCACCCACATGCACCGACCACACGCGACATGTCGCCCGTCAAACACCTGTGGAATGTTCTGGATCAGCGTTTTAGCCAACATGTTCCAGCTCTCGAGAATGTTCGCCAACTGCGAGTAGGACTCCAGGAGGTATGGGATAATATCCCTCAGACCACTATTTACAATTTAATGATGTCCATGCACCGCTGGTGTACTGCTCTGCGCAAAGTTAATGGTGTTTGTGAACTCAGGATGTTGACCCCCACAGTGTATTTGATGCCCTAACTCTTGGACTATGCATTGAAACTTCCCCTAATGCTCTCAAAGTGATGTCTATTTGTCGAGAAAAATATACTGTTATTTTTGGCTATATACTCTAGGTCCATATATGAAAATAAATCTACATATTCTTTCGTGCATTTATATTTTTGTTCAGTATAGTTTCTGTCCAGATGGTAAGACTACACAGATTTGACTTATTTGTTGCTCACATCTCAAATCCAAACTCCTGTCAATTTTTTAAATACCAAAGTCCCAATAAATAAATTATGATCTAAACAAAGGAATGAAAATAAGGTTGAAAGGGAGTTCTTAAGATATTTTTGCCCTCCTGGTTACTTGGGGAGCTTATATAATTAATTACACTTTTCTTTAAAAAAAATAAGAAAAATTTGAACCAGTTATATTTTGCAATTCACATAGTAATTGAGGTGTTAAGAGCATGATCAGTATAGTACATGCAGATTGATGACATAGAGAGAAACACATGGAAACAAAGCAAGGACAAGCAATGGATAAAAGACTACTTTATCCATTTAACCTCTTCTATAACTTTGGAAAAATTTGCAAGTGCACAGTTAGAACTGATAGAATTAAACTTGCCAAATCTTTTGTGTGCTATAAAAAGGTTGATGCACCATCACTCCAACATGGATGTCCGTGTGAACACATAGCTGTCAGCAAGTATGTGAAGAGACATCAAGTGTCAGAACATTTCCATGTGGCATGTTTGTATCAGCACAGTATCCATACTTAGCAAGTAGACCAGACAGAATCATTAATGGAGCAACAACACTGGAGGTTAAATGCCCCTTTACCGGCTGTGATGATACTAGACAGCAATAATGACTATTTTTTATCAGGTCCAATGACAACCGTTTTGTTGTGATGCCAGAGAATGTCATTTCGTTATATATACATTTAAAGACCTTAAAGTTGTCATTGTCATGATTGAAAAGTTGGAACAGTTTTATGTATCTTACACGTACTTCAGAGAAGTCTTGGTGGATTCTTTTGTTTTATAAGGAAACTAACAAATATCACTTTCAATGACGGGATTGTATTTATTTGATGATGTTAAATCTAATTTCATAAACACTAGGCCACAATAAGAATTCAATAACTGAAAACTTAGTACATGATACCACAACAATTGAGCAAATATTTCTATATCTTTTACACACACCACATTCAGAGTTGAATGCATATCTCAAACTGTAAGATCATATTGGGTGTACAAACAAATATCAGACAAATATGCACATGAATAATATGTTGCTCTCATCAGTCACGAGAAACAATTCCAAATCTAAAATTGCACAACATGAAACACACAAATTCAGCCTCTGATAGATGAACTGTCAAATCCTAAATTGTTGAATGGGTGTCTTCGTGACTTGAAATAGAATCAGAATGAGTTCTTTCAAAGCACTGTGTGAAATTTCTGTCCCTAAAAACCAGTGCCAAACTGTTACCAACCAGATAATTTTCAATCGTGCAGGTTTGGACTTCACCAAAATGGCAAGGGAAGAGTTTCAGAAGGCAGATCAAGTACTAATTAGAAAGTGCGAAACAGCAAGTGCAAACAAGGAAAATTGCCAACATGCCCAGCTCAGACAAAAGTTCCAACAAATGGACACATTAAAAAATGCAAAGAAAATGCATATGGAACAGGTGAATTTCACCAACCTGCAAATTAAGGCTGCTCCAAACTGCAAAACATGTCAAAAACTAAGGGCAGCGGTTTATACAAAAATTAAAAACACAATTAGACGTTATAGTTATTAGATCAGACGGCGATACTTTACTCCTATGCAGATGTCTTGTGCAAGGCATTCTGGGATTACTTAAATATGCTTGATAAATAATGAAATAGAAATTACAGAGAAAATGGATAAAGGCTCGCTCGCGTTACAAAGACTTGCATTATGTTATTCCGGAGTTGAAACATACACTTAATTTCTGCTATTTGATAATCGCTTATGAATAACTAAATGTTTACAGGGGACATAGCCAGACCTTTTTAAATTCTCAGGTACAGTGGACTTGCGCAGTGGACTTGGGCAGCCTAATTTCATTACTTAGGCCGCATTCACATCGAGTTGAGCCATGGCTCTATAAAGCCACAACCTAAATATGGCGGACGTACATGAAAGGAAAACCGCCTAATTTGCAGGGGTACAGTCATTAAATCTCGGCTCTATTCGCCAGGAAGCTGGGGAGGCATGTGAGAGGCGGAGAGACTATTAAAAGATTAGGCAGTTTTCCTTTCAGGTGCGTCCGCCATATGAACCATGGCTCAACTCGATGTGAATGTGGCATTAGTTTTTACTATTAATAAAATCATCACTAAAAGTTTAAAATATTCCTGTGATTTAAGATTTCAGTATATTTTTTCACCCAGAACAGTATATTTAAGAAGGAGCTTACTGAAACTTTTAACTTCGAAAAAATTTGGACACTATATGAACTGCTTATTATGCCTGCTTGTGATGAGCTGAATTCTGAATAATGGTGCAGTCGCCAATAGTATGGTAGTCCTTACCACATCAAAGGTATCAAAGCAACATCAAACGTATCAAAGCGACATCAAACGTATCGAAGTCTAATGAAACTTTAACAAGCTCTTCCCCCATCAAGTATAAAGGTCGTCTCATTGCTGGGTGAGACAGAGAAGAGAGAGAGGAAGCTGATAGAGTCTGTAGATCAGTGAGCAACTGTAAGGCCAACGCTCAGGCCGCTTTTAACCTGCATAATAAATGATCAGTTTAACCATTTTGGTTGTTTTGTTTTGGGTCCATCTCCAGCAAAGGTGCATGGCACCAAAGCCTTACGAACCTCGCAAGTGTTAGAAACACCATAGCCTCAGGGTTACACCCTGTCTCTTGAGACTTTATGTCACTGAGTGCGTGAATTAGCATCGACAACTGACTTCAAGGCTTCTAGAGGGTGGGCGGCCTGCTTCATGACCAGACACGACTGTAAGTCAGTGGCTCCCAACAGACTTGGAATTTAGGTTGAATGTTTTCTACAATCACCTCGGGGAAGTAAAGGAAGATGGAGAGTTTGATCCAAAGTACACTATAAATATGGACAAGGTGCCAATGACCTTCAACCTGCTCCCACAGAAGACTATCAACACTAAAGGGGCAAAAGACATGGAGATCATTTCAACTGGGCTTGAGAAACGGCATTTCACTGTAGTACAGGGTGTTGCGGCAGATGGCAGTTACCTACCATAGATGGTGATCTTTAAAGGTAATATTTCATGAATAGTTCACCTATGTAGATGTAACTTAAAAATATTTCAAGAGCTGTATATTTAGCTATATATTTGATACTTGTCAGGGGCGGATTTAGACTGTCTTCTGAGTCTTCCGGAAGATGGTCAGATTTTCAAGTTTACATTAATGGGTATCTATTTTGTCAGTCGGAAGACGGTCAAAAAATGGAGGATGGATCAACAAATATAGTATGGAAGACTGTCAAAAAATATCACTGGATTCGCCCCTGCTTGTTCTGATTAAATAAATAAATAAATAGTAAATAAATAAATGAAAATAAATAATTCATATAGATTTTTATTATTAAATTAAATATTTGAATATTTTTTATGTAACACTTCACTTCTGTCATATTATTAAAAGGATTCATTCTTTGATTTTAGGCAAAAGACAACTGGACATCGTGGCCCCAGCTGGTTGGGTTGAAGTTGCAAATGCAAAGGCATGGATGATGGAGGAGCTGATGTTAAAGTGGACTGCAGAGATTCTGCGCCATACACTGATCGACGTCCATGCCTTCTTGTTTGTGACTCTTTTTCCACTCACACGACTGACTGCGTGAAAGAGGCACTGTGTAAGGTCAACACTAGGCTTGCTATTATTCCGGGGGGGGGGGGGGGGGGAATGCACATCGAAGGCACAGCCTCTGGATGCAAGTCTCAGCAAGCCTTTTAAAGGCCAACTGCAAAGGTTGTGGAGCCAAAGAATGCACGAAGGGATGAATGCAGTTGTGAAGGAAGGAGAAAATGTAGACCAAGTCAAGACAGGAACTAAAGAAGAAATCATGGAATGGGTCTCAAGTGCGTGGGCCTG